TGCTGCTGCCCCTCTGTACATACTGTCTGTTCATTTCCCCCTTATCTATTTAAGAAACCAGACGGAGACGAATGCCTTTAATTTTGTATGTTGGAAATGCCGAATGAGAAGCAGCCGGCTGCTTGGGAGCCTGGACCGCCCACAGCTCCTGGCCTTGCTCAATAACTCCTCCAGCACGGAACCGGCTATAAATCTCTATAAATACAGAATTGCTCTATTTTTGTGTAAACGCAGAATAACGTAAAATTACTTGCCATAAGGTATTTGCCAGGCTCGGTGTTGCTGGGAGGGGGGCTGGGAAGAGGGTCCTGGGAGATGTTGGTGTCGGGATCCTCACCTCAAAAGCGGTAAGGAAGGAAGAGCATTTGACAACCGCTTTGGTATTGCAGTGATGTCCATCCCGGGGAAGGGCCGGGCTGTGGTGGAGGTGGCAGCTTGAGTGTGGCGTGGATTTTGCGACTAGGCTGGGGTTGCCTCCTCCTGCTGTCGCTGCTGAGGTCTGAGCAGCCTGGTTTTAGCTGGCAGGCACTGCACAATGCCACTGGGAGCTGGGAGAATGATGTGTAATACCTCTCCTGACTGTCTCTGTACCTCCAGGTCTCAGGCCCGCAACAGCATCCCTTTCTGTGTCTGACACCCCTTCCCACCACAGGTGGAAGGTCTGCTGTCACAGTAAGGACCTGGTAGGTGATGCTGAGTATGTGATCCTATAAAAATGGCAGCTTGTGTCTTTAGCAGTCTCACTGCCTGGCTTGGGTGGGGATGGTACGTGGATACCTTCAGCTTCTCTGGAGCTCGGTGGCCACGTGTGTGATGGGACTCCTAGCCAAGCCCCGGGCTCAATCCTAAGTCCAGAAGGTGAGAAGGCGTGTCCATCAGTGCTCACTTGGAACGGTTTTGCTCTTGGATGAGGGATGTTGGTGCTGTAAGATATGGTTAAGGGAGAACCAGCCTCTACTGAAAAAAAAGGGCAATGGATGAGGAAAGGCAGCTACTGAACAGCCTGTCTGAGCAGAGGCAGCAGTGTGTAGCGGTCCCTGGGCTGCCTAGCATCCCCAGATGGGACATCCACAGGTCCCAGCTGAGTAGCATGAAACTGGATGCCCAGGAGTCCTCTGCTCCCCTTTTTCAGAGCATGCTCTTGCCTGGCCTGTGTTCCTTTCATTGCGTCCTGGTGGGGGACACTGTGTCCCTGCAGTGTGTTGTCCCAGGGCTGCCCAGGAAGTGCTTTCACTTTCTGAGGGTGAGAATTAGGCTCCCCATACCTGGTAGTGCTGCAACAGCCGTGTCCTAGCAGAGCCTGGTGGGACTGTACTGTAGGTTTGGGGATGCCTGGAGAGCAAGGTGGGGCAGCTGGGCTGGGGCAGGGGTTTGGTGGGAGCCAGGGAAGGGGATGTGGTAGGATGGTAGCCAGGAAAGATCCTTTGGCCCATGCTGCTGGGCCTGACTTGCCCCACCAATAACAAACTTTCACAGGCATCCCACGAAGCCTGGAGCAGGGACCCTTAGCCTTGCTCCCTCTGATTATTTTCAGTCTTTTAGAGCACTGTTTTTGCTCTGCATAGTTAAAAGCTTAAGACCTTAGACACTCAATGCTCCATCGCTCTCCAGCCCTGTGTGAGCTGAGAGCGCTTTGATTTTTTTTTTTTAACAAAGAGAACAAGAAAGGAAACACCTCCCTCAGTGACTGCTGCCACGGCAAACTCGTTCTCTCTTGGTCTGTGATGGGGGCACATGGCAGCCCTTTATCCCCCTCCTTGTCTGCAGACACTCCCTGAGGTATGTCAGCTTTGCCATAAGCAAGGGCTGGCACTGCCTAATTCTAGGTACAGCCATAAGTAAGAGAGACTGAAGCCCTGCAGCACTGGTGAAGCTTCTCAGAACTTAAGCAGCCAAGACAGCCCTCCAGATGAAATACTGGCCTCCTTTCCCCTGTAAATAAAGACAGAATAAATGCATGCTGGTATTTCGTGGCTCCTGTTTGGTGCTGCGTGTTGCTGGCTGTGCTCCCAGTGTGGAAGCTGACTTGGCCAACATTGTCTTAGTTCTGCAAGTCAAAGCCAGACCTGGAGCAAAGCTCCAGGCAGACTGCTTTGGTGAAGGAGGTGCTGAAGGCAGTGGCTCTGGCTTTTGGCTTGCCAGCCAGCTCTCAGCAAGTCCTGGTGCACACATGGCTTGGGGTGCATTTGTGAAACCCCTCTGTGCTCTCAGGACAGCAGAGAGATGGACAAGTTCAGCCCTTCCCAGCAAGATGACCATCAAGTGAATTTCCTCAAAAGACCTTACAGGCAGGGTGGCATTAGCACTAGTGGGGTATCAGGCAAGGGGCAGACTGCTTTTAGCAAAGGGGTAAATCGCTTTGTGGCATTTGCCAGCATGGATTCATGAAGGGGAAGTCATGCTTAAACATTCTGATAACCCTCTATGATGAAATGGCTGGTTCAGTAGATGAGGGAAGAGCAGTGCGTATTGTCCACCTTGACTTCTGCCAGGCTTTTGATATGGTCTCCCATAAGATCCTCATAGTGAAGTGTCATGGTTTAGGCCCAGCTGGCAGCAGGGCACCACACAGCTGCTTGCTCACCCCTTCTCCGGCATGATGGGGAGGAGAAGTATAACAAAAGG